GGACGGGCCTAGCGGCCCAACCCAGCACTGGCAGTCATGGCGCACAAATCCCGGGAGAGAAGGCGGAAGCAGCAGCGACTCTAAAGGCAGCCCTAAGCTGGCTAAAGCAGTTCCTGGTATGGAAACCCAAGCCCCCGAGTGCCTGGGCCCAGCCGGATCTAGTTCAGGTGAGAGGACAGAAACCTCGGCTCCAGGACCTGGCCTCGGAGCCACAGTCGAGGGCGTGGCCCTAGCTGCCGGGGGCGTGGCCCTAGCTGCAGGAGGCGGGGCCCTAGCTGCAGGAGGCGGGGCTGCTGGCGCCATAAGTACCCGCACTGTTACCGGTTTTGTCATCTTTCCAGCCGGCGACCCAGGAGCTCCTGATTCCAGGCAGGAAGCGAGGGTCGAGGGTCTTGGAAGAAGGCATCTCTGCCCTTGAATTATTCACCCCGAATTGAGTTATCGTGAAGCCCAGTGGCTTTGGGAAACCTCTCCACAACCAAGTTGAGCCACAGCCCTCTGCTAATGGAGGGTAAAAGGTCTAATTGGATAATGACGAAAAGTAGCAGCAATTAAAGCTTCATTTGATTCGCACCTGGGGCACATGCGGCTAGTAGCCCAGTTAGCCTGAGACTTAGAAATGCGTTAGAATACAAAATTTACTAGTGTGGTAGCTGTAACTTCCGGTAGTGGCAAAAGCTTATTCAAGTTCAATAGTTAATGTTCAAGACAAAAACAAAAAAAAATTGATTTAGTATGATAACCTTTTCACAATTATTTTTGTAATCTCTTTTGCAGCTGACTTTAATTTGCATCCTTTTGTGTTTTCATTTAGTTTTAACTCATCAGTAAAATAGTAAGGTGGCTTGCAGTGACATTGAAATGTCTATGTGGAAATACAGGACAGAACATATCAAGGGATAAGTGCTTTGTAACAATATGTGCCAAGTGCTTTGTTCCTCATAAGTGTATGGGAACTAAAAAATTCCTTTTCAAATTAAAATGTACTGGAACAGAAATGTACCTTCCTCACCTTAAAATTATTTCCCTTCGGTTCATCAATTATTGCACAACATTTGATTTGAGGGAATCTTTAAAAATTACTGAACCTATTGTTACTCAGTCTTGATATTCTCAATGATATACAGGATTCCAACTGACTTGCAGAAAGGTGAAAAGAGCGCAGCAGAGTTCAAACAATCCATTTCCTTGTGTGAAGTTTGTGTTAATTGTCTTTGGATAATTTTATTGTTGACTGGAGCTTTTTAAGTACAACAGGTATTTAAGATTTTAGAAACCATTTCCCTTATTCTTTTTTCTCTCTGCAGTTAAAAAACAATGTCTAACCCACGCAATGAGCTTTTGACTGTATGTCTCATTTCCAAAGGAATATGACATCATTGAGTTGAACCCAGAGAAACTGAACTCAGAGAAAAACTTCCATTATTGAAAACCCAAAAGCTGATGGCCAGACAAAAGGATGAGAGGAAATGCTGGACCTCCAGTTTCTTGTTAACTACTGTTTTTCATAAGGGACTCTGCCTTCAGCTCATTTTCATTGACTGTTATCATTTCTGGGTTTGCTCTGGTGTGAAAATTCTCATTTAATTTTTTTTTTCTTCAGATTCTGCCTCTAGTTTAGAAAAGAAAAATTCTAATTTACAATTCATGTCAGATAATCTTGATGGCACACTGGCCTGTCAGAGATTTCACTAGCATCCTGTTTTTAAAAATTATTTTAAATTTTTGTTTTTTTAATTGAAACAGCTTTGTTGAAATATGATTTACGTACTATAGAATTTGTTTTAACATATAATTCAAATATTTTTAGTAAATTTACTGCCTCATGCAACCATCACCACAATCCAACTTTATAATACCTCCATCACTCCAAGAAGACCCCTCATGCCCATTAGCAGTCACTACCCATTTCCAACCCCAGCCCTACACAAACGTCAATCTACTTTCTGTCACTATGCATTTGTCTTTTCCGGATGTTTCATGTAAATGGAATTATACAGTATGATAAACACATTTTTCATCTAGGTTCAACATGTAATCATAATCAAATGTCTTTTTTGATATTTACTTCTCCTTCTTCTGCTTTCTCTTTTTCATGCTGAAACAGTCTTTTAAATGATTACATTCATTGATTAACTCCTTATTTTTCTCTTCTAGAGGGACATCATCTTTTTCAGTCTCAAGACAACATCCTTGGATATCAATTATTGTCTTTCTTCTAAGCACCGTCTAGTTGTTGAGTAACAGATTTTCATGTCATAGTTGAGATTCTCTTTCCTCTTTGGAAAGTCCCGCTTTCCAAAGGATTTACTTGGCCTTGGTCCTTTTGTACACTTTATAAAACCAAGGCCTTTTCTCTGAGAGAATTTCTTGTGTCATGGAGTCTACTTTTTAGGGCACTGAATTTAATTCGAGCTTCAGAAAGTTTTTCAGTTAGAAACTCATTATCTTTTAGTTCAGAAATATTAGAACTCATTTTTTTCTGGTAAGGAAACATCTCTTGCTCTCTGGAAAGCAAGTTTTAGGTCTCTTTTTGTTTTTGCGCTTTGATCACGCTCCCTGATAGCAGCAGCCAATCTAGCACGGAATGACTCAACTTCAGCTTCCAGTCTTTCCTTGTTTTGTTTCCCTTCTCCAGTTCAGACTTGAACACTGTATTCTCAGCTTTGAGGTCATTAAGCTGTGGCCATACTGGGATATTGTTTTTGTTAATGTTTTTCATTTTGTTTTATAGTCTTTTGAAGATTATCATTCATTTCTTTAACAATTCAATGCCCTTAAAGTATTTGTTTTCCTTTTCAAGGTTCTTACTTTTTATTGTGCATAGTTACATACACAATAAAGGCAATCTCTCTTCAACAGGCAATTTTTGTGCATCAGATCCTTTTTCCACAACTACGCGAATCCTGACTTGAAGTATTCCTTAAAGCCTTCACTTCTGTTTCTAGTGATCTGATATCAGTTCAAGCTGTTCTTTTACTTCAACTTCTTTCCTGTGTTGCTCTACTTTCCTTTCTAACTCTTTTTTCATACAACCTATTAGCATTTCTTTTCTTCTCATCTTCTTGTTTTAAGGTGTGTTCAAAGTGTAGAATTCTTGTTTCCATTTCACTTTTAGATGTTTAACTGTGATCATTTCTTGTGTGTTGGATAGCTCCTTCTCTAGTACACTAAAATCAATTTTCATGTTTTTATTGTCTAGAGTAAGTTGTTCACCGATAATTTTTTTTAAGTTCCAGTGACTTTTCACATGAAATAAATGCATTCTGGATTTCCATTAGGATATGAGAATCATTATAATCCATTCCAAATTGCTTAATGAGCATCATCAACTTCTTATAATGAGGGTAAGTTTCCTTATGATTCTCTGAGGCTGTTTCAGATGGCCAAGTTCAATCATCAAGTTTATCTCTAAATGTGTTTGCTTTTTGACCTTTTTCTTTGGAGGCCTATCATATTCTCCCTTCTCCTTCTTAGGAAATCACTGATGGTACATTTTCTCACTCTTTCTTTGTTGAATGAATTTATCATCATCGTCAGCAGATGTACTATCATATAGGTTTTCTGATGCTTTCATCTTTTTACTTTTGTGCTTCTTTCTAGCTTCTTCAACCTGTGGCTATTTATTTTCACTTTCAGGCCTTTCTTGCTCTTCTTCTGATGTCACTTGTACTTCTAGTTCTCCTCTGGGTGTTTGTACATCCTTCCTTTCTACTGCTTTCTTCACAACAGAATCTTTCAGTGTTAGGCTTCAAGGAAGGATGTTTTGCAGGAGGCCCTTCTCCTTTTCCATTTACTGTATATTTTTTCCTTTTTTATATGAAGGTCCAAGTAAAGACCCTGAAACACTCAGGGATACACTTCTTAGTAGTAAAAGTCAAGTCTTCATCATTTGTTTTAGGGCACAAATCAACACATTTTTTTGAAAATACTGAATGCAGATGCTTCAGAATTCCCAGAATCTTTGGCACTTGCTCCTTTTTTCAAACTTGCATTCTTCTTGGTTGCTTCTTCTGGATTGTCACTGAAGACCGTTTTCAAGTATCTTTTTGCAAATTTTGCAAAATTTGTTGTGAGTGCTTGTCAGACCACCAGAAATAGTGTAAACATGGGCTGTGTGTTCATACATATTCTTGAGTAAAGACAATATTTTGTTGAAGAAGAATGCTAACTATACCTGACAAGCTATAATGTACAATAGGTATGAGGGCTGTTCTTTTCAACCTATCAACAGCATATATATTTGCCTGTTTCTTCACTAAAATTCCACCTTTTACTGTGTTTTGCAAACTACAACAAGTAAAAGCAGTGTGTTTCCATCCTTGTTCTGGCACTTCAGTATTCACATGGTGTGAAGAGAGTTTTTCTGCCAGTAGTCTATTCTCATTATAGACAGTATAGTAGAGAGCAATGTTGCCGTAGACATCTGGAAGATCTAGATTGGTGCCACGTTCTAACAGAATGATGACACAGGTCTCTTTTTGACAATGTACAGCCTTCATCAAAGTCATATTGTTTCATTTGTCACCAAGGTCAATCTGGCATTTTCAGTTTACCAGGAGAGTGATCACTTTCACGTGGCCATTGGTGCAGGCCAAATGCAAATCAGTCTTGTGCATCCACAGATGAAGGAATACAGAAACTCCACAATATCTGTGCAATGGAATATTCTTCAGCCATCAAACTTCAGGACATCACATCACTTCCAGCGATGTGGAGAGAGACCTGTTCACCCACAGATGAGGGGATAAAATACTACAGAAACTGTAGTATTCATTCAGAAGGGAATATTCTTCAGCCATGCCATATACTAAAATCATATCATCTGGAGCCACATGGTTGAACTTGTTCATCCCTTGATGAAGGGATGAAAAACTGAAGTATATATCCAGAAAGGAATACTCTTCCACCACAGAAATGGATGAAATCCTGTCATTTGCAGTCACGTCAAAAAACCTTTTCATCCACAGATGAAGGGATAAAGAAACCATAGTGTACGTACACAAGTGGAATGCTCTTCATCCAGAAAAATATAATGAAATTACATCATTTGCAGCCACATTGTTGAACCTAGAGGACATCATGGCAAATGCCCTGTCCATCCATAGCTAAAGGGATAAAAAAACTGCTACACAGGTACACTACAGAATATGCTTCTGCCATAAAGCTTCGGGAAATCCAGTCATCCCCAGCCATGTGGAGAAACCCAGAGGACATTAGGTCCAAAGAAATGAGCCTGGTAGAGAAAGTTCCACACCTTTTAATCTCAGGCATGGAGATTCCAAAAAAACCTTTATCTCCTGTCCATCCACAGATGAAGGGATCAAGAAACTGTAATGTATATACACAAAGGAATACCCTTCAGCCATCAAAATAACTAAACCGTGTCATTTGGAACAACACAGAAGAACCACAGAGGCTGCAGCTGCCTTATGCCACACCATGGATGGAAGCCACCATGGCCTCTGTCCGGGCTGAGCCCTGACCACAATAACGCCTCTGCCCTTACCCAGGCCCCACTGTGACTGACAGTGCCCCTGCACCTTTTCAGTAGTCATTGATGAGAAAACATCTACATCCTCCTTCCCACTACCAGATTTTGCTTGAAGAAAAGCAGTTTCCCAAAATAATTTTGTGACAAGCTTCTACCACATTAGGACAAAAATGCTGGTAACTGAAAAAAAATTCCTACAGAAGCCTTCTGCTTCTCTCTCCAGCCATATCTCAGGCGAGCCCTCAGCACACCACCCCACCCCAGGGCCCATTCCCCACACTCATCTGCCTCTTCTGACCTCCAGGCCTTAGCTCAGGCAGGCCTTCTGCTCAGAGGCTTTCCTTTAGAGTTGCCTGGCTAAGCATAGCTTTGCCTCACCCCCCAAAATCTAATAGTCATCTTGAATTTCTCCCTTTCCCTCACTGTCATTCATTCATTCAACAAAAATCTTGTCATGTGTCCACTGTGTTCCAGCTTTTGTCCTCAACCCTGGGAGACAAGTGTGATTAAGATAGGCAAGTCCTACTCTTGTACAACTTGCATTTGAGCTTGGGGCAGCAGGGAAAAGAGGACAATAAATAAAACCAGATAAATGCTATGAAAGAAAAAAGAGAAGACCAGTAGATTGTGATAGTGAATTATGGGTGAAGGGAGGAGAGTACTGTTTTAAGTCAGCTGAACAGGGAGAACTCACTAAGGAGTAGACAGTTAAAAAGAAGGAGCCACCCTGGCAAAAACGGACAAAGCAAAGGGCACATGTGGCATTTTTGCTGTTTGTAGTGGGGGGGCAACCAGGTACTATGAGGGGAAGGGAGCATTCCTCTCAGAGGGACTCACAAGTGCACAGGCCCTGAGGTGGGAAGCAGCTTGATATTTGAGGAATGGTAGTGCCTTTCTTGGACCATTCCGGCATGTGATGTAACAGTCACAAACACTTCTTCCCCAGCTTTTACAGCAGAAGGGAACTGGTACTCAGACAAATTCCAGATGAGGCAGAGGAATGTCTGTGACTCTCCTCTTCCTTGTTTGCTCCCTTTGTCAGTTGGTTGACCACCCCCCACACCACCCCCGTCTCCCTCTAGCTCCCTGATCCTTCTCCTCCCATCCACCATAAAGGCCACTAATTAAATAAAACGGGTTTTGGAGGAGACCATCCTAAGATCCCAGACTGACCTCATCTCTGCCTATCATTAATTATATGACTTTAGGGAAATTACTTAACCTCTCAGTGTTTTCTTGTCAGTAAGTTGGGAATAATAATGCCTGCCTCCTGGATTACAAGAGTTCATACATTTGAAGGCTCTCAGTAAATGGTGGCATAGGAGCATTTATCTTTTTATACTCCCTAAATAATAAATTTAGTTTATTGTTAATTTCAACATGCATATTCAAAATGTATTCTGTGTTCATCATTCCATTATTTCCATCTGACTTCTGTCACCACCCTGATCAATGTCTGTCTCTCTCTTGCTAGCTCTCCTCCCCAGCCTTTTTGGCACCGGGGATTTCATGGAAGACAATATTTCTACCAGGGGATGGGGAGAGATGGTTTCAGGGCAAAACTCTTCCACCTCAGATCATCAGCATGAGTTAGATTCTCATAAGGAGTGGGCACCCTAGATCCTGCTGCTCATGTGCAGTTCACAATGGGGTTCATGGTCCTATGAGACTCTAATGCCACCACTGATCTGACAGGAAGTGGAGCTCAGGCAGTAATGCTTGCTCACCTGCCACTCACTTCCTGCTGTGCGGCCTTGTTCCTAAAAGGCCATGAACCCTTAGGGTCCAGGGGTTGGGGACCCCTGCTCCAGATGACAGCCAAAGTAGTCTTAAATGAAAGGTGGATTGTTAGTTCCCTGCTTAGACCTTCAGCTGTTTCCCATTTCCAGAATCTTCACTGCAGCCTGCCTGGCTCTACTTGATCTGGCTCTCACCCCCCTGCCCTCCCTCCTTAGCCCTGTCATCTCATGCTACTCTTCCCTTTTGCCCAGGACACTGACCAGATGCATTCTTCTTGAACAAGAAGTACTGTGCTTACATGTCAAATCCGAAACAGACATTTCTTTCTTTAATGATGTCGGGTCAGGGATGTGGCTGATAATATAAGGACTTCTCCAATCAGACTTCCTAATCTACGTGAAAAGATAATAATTACAATATTGATGCGAAAAAAGAAGGTTCTGACAAAATGAACTTCTGAAGCATAAATCATATGACCAATGTTTGTGATCCTCTTTTAAATTTTCATGTGAAGGAGAATAGGGGGTGTAACTGAAGAGTTGGACTAAAATTTCTTCTATGTATTGAGAACCTAAGTGTGGGATGCCATGTTCCGATCTAAAGACACATGGTCTCCTGGTACTTAAACAATCTGGCATCACACATGACATGACCTATATTAAAAGAGAGACACTGTAGTGCTGAAGAGTTTGATGCTCAGTGAACAGGAGAGCCAGCTGGTGCTTTGGAAGGCAGAGGGGGCACCCTCGCTGATGTCCAGAGAGATCAGGGCTGACAGTTCATGAACTGTGCTTGTCTGGAAGGAAGGCAAGGAGTTGAGAAAGAAAAGAGGAAGGCCCGAGATGGGGACTGAGAATATCTTTGGGTAATAAGACCAGTTAAGCTGGGAGTAGAAGGCTCATTTATGGAACAAAAGATTGTGGATTGTGTTGTCATGGACCACTGTGACCCACTAGTGGATAGTGAAATTAATATAGAAGATCTTGTGCCCTATTTAAAATGTTTTAAAAATAGAATAGGAAATACAAGAGAGCTTCTCAGGGAGGGTAAGTGTTGACTTGTGAAACTTTGTTGCGTTTATGTATTCTGGGTAGCAGTCTAAAATGTATTCCTTATGTGGGTCATGCTCAAAAGAGTTCAGAAAACAGTGGACTGGACACAGCTTAAAGCTATCTAAATATCTGTGTCTGCCATTGGCATCTGGCACAGAAGCCTGTGTACTGGCATTTCAGTCTGTTGAACAAATGGAAGGCATTGGGTTCCAGCCCGAGGAGTTTGGATTTTATCCTGTAGGCAATGGAAGTTTTTGAAGGTTTGTGGGCAGGAGGGTCATGGGTCTTTCAGAAAATTTATGTAGCAGTTGTACATAGGATGGCTCGGTAGGGAAGAGATAAGAGGCAGGGTGTCTAGTTAGGAGACATTGACTGGGCCTTGGGTGAGTGACAGTGACCTGTGTAGGTTGGTCACAGGGGATGGGAAGGTAAGAGGACCCAGTAATGACAGTGATATTTGTTTGTTTGTTTGTTTTTGAGACAGAATATTGTTCTGTTGCCATGTGGTGGTGCAATCTTGGCTTACTGCAGCCTCCGCATCCCAGGTTTGAGCAATTCTCATGCCTCTGCCTCCTGAGTAGCTGGGATTACAGGCATGTGCCACCCTGCTGGCTAATTTTTGATTTTTAGGAGAAATGGGGTTTCATCATGTTGGCCAGGCTGGTCTTAAACTCCTCAGCGCAAGTGATCTGCCTGCCTCAGCCCCACAAAGTGCTGGGATTACAGGTGTGCACCCTGCTGATTTTTTTTTTTTTTTTAATGTGAAAAGGATTTTTGTTTCCTGTCTCTATTTTAGAATCATGTCACTTATAATTTAGGTCATCTAATCAAATCAGCAAAGGTGTGTTGACTCTGACTATTTGACACATCTGTCATGACTGTTGCATTATCAGTTATTCAGGAGTTTCTATATGGCAGACAAATTAGCTCTTGTTAGCAGCAGACTAATCTGAAGAAATGACTCCCATGGATAAGAATCTGTCTGAGTGCTGTAGGGCTTTTGTTAGGTCACATCTCACTAAGTGCTGATCAGTTTTGATTCACTTAGAGCAGAGCACATAGGCTCTTTGGAGATGATTGTTTTAGAGAGTAGGGCAAGAGAATAGAAATCAGTGAGCCAACAGCCTTCTCAGAGCAGTGAGAAATGCCTCTTCAGATTAGTTTTGATCATCTCAGCTCCATGACCCTTTATTCTTACTTTTGTTTATTTGTGTTTCCTAGGAAGTGGCTCAGCCCCAGGGCAGCACATCACAGCCACCGCAGAACACAGTCATTCCTCTGCCATCATGCTGGGACCAATCTTTCCTGACTAATATCACCTTCTTGAAGGTTCTTCTCTGGTTGGTCCTGCTGGGACTGTTTGTGGAACTGGAATTTGGTCTGGCATATTTTGTCTTGTCCTTGTTCTATTGGATGTACGTCGGGATGCGAGGCCCTGAAGAGAAAAAGGAGGGAGAGAAGAGTGCCTACTCTGTGTTCAACCCGGGCTGCGAAGCCATCCAGGGCACCCTGACTGCAGAGCAGTTGGAGCGCGAGTTACAGTTGAGACCCATAGTGGGGAGATAGGACCCAGCTGTGCCATCATGCAGCTAACCTCAGATGCGATCTTCTTCACCACTGGCTGTGGATTTGGTTTCAGATTATAGGACTAAGGGCAGCTTGCGGGTTAGCTGTGTGACTGCATAGTTCTATGTGCTTTCCCTGATCTTTTGCTGCCATTTGATCTTTAAATTTCTCCTTAGTTTTGATGAAACTCTAAAATGCATTCCGATGCAATTTATAAAAATTATGTACTCAAGAAAGGAGTCCTGTTTCTCTCAATTTCTCATCTGTTTGGGAGATGGCTTTAGAGCACTAGAAAGGCACTGGGGAGATTCTCAGCTTGAAATATCCAGCCATTTGAAGGAACAATTAGGTACATCAGGGCTTCGTAATAAATGTTTCCTTTAAGTCTTTTAATATTTATAGCAATTTTTTTCCCCAGAAAGTTTAGGTTGCAAGTTTTGGGTTTCTTGTTTTTGTTTTGCTTCCTGCTTTAATTCTTTCATTTTCTCTCATTACTGGTATTGACAAATAAAATATCTTTAAAAGATCTCTTCTTCAGAAATAGGTCCCCCTTCATTGCCCATCACTGTCTTTCACTCTCCTATTATTCTGCCACCACTGAGTAAAGGAAGGTAGGAAGAGACAAAGGCCTAAGTGCAGGTATAGGGAGGGGAGGGGTTTCACAGGTTGGTGTTGGAGATTTCACAAGTGTTTGTTAACGACCAGTTCAGCAAGCAGTGTTGAGTGTGTACAGAGGGGAGGGCTGGAAGTGTAACTCCAGACCTGTTGGCTGCTTGAGTTGTTTCTTACATTCTAAGGCAGCAGTCCCCAACCTTTTTGGCACCAGGTACCAGTTTTCTGGAAGACAGATTTTCTGGAAGACAGACCTAAATTCCGGAAATCAAGGCTGCACCTAAAGTCTTAATGGTCTGATGAGAGCAGCAAATACTTGTTCTTTCTTCTTCTCCCTGTCAAGCCTTCAATTGATTCACACCCTACTTTTCCTAGAAGTGGTGATGGAGGTGGTTTCGGGATGAAACTGTTCCACCACAGATTGTCAGGCATTGGAGTCTCATCAGGAGCACATGACTTAGATCCCTCACATGCGAAGCTCACAGTAGGGTTCTAAGGGCGTTAGAGTAAGCAGCCTTTTCACCTGTGGGCCTCTGGTGAGAAATTATGTAAATAGTGATAATCAGGCTTGATTGTAATGTTCCTTCCTCTTCCAGTACAGTGTTAGAGTTTGGGTTCATTAAAATTAAGCAAACTCCCAATGGGTTGGAGCTGTTCTCATTAATTCCATTTTGTAGCTAACCTTGTTGTATTTCAGCCCTTGTTGAAAATTCTTCTGGTAAGTGTTGCTCTTCCTCACGGCACTTTTCCCATTGGGAGTTTGGCTATCCCTCAGAGCCATCCAATCAAGCACAAGGTCCATTCTAGCTCACAGAAAAGTCTTTTATTCCATGACTTCTGTCTGAACTGGACAGGTAGAGAGTATGGGAAACAGATGAATCCCTATTAAACATGAAGTTTGGGTTGTATTTAAGACAGAATTTTGTTTTCTGATTTATTTTCTTAAGACTTTCTTAATTTCCTTGATTCTTTGGGCTTTTCCATTTTATAAAAGCTCAATACAAGGGAATAATTCCCTAATCTAAGTTTTACTGCAGTGCTCAGGGCAGTAAGCATTGCTGTAGGAAAGAACTAATTTGTATTTTAAAAACATAAAATTCAAGCTTTCCCCTGAAATAAAATACCTGTAACTCTGAATTAGAGAGGTTTGATCCAATTAGTAATCCCAGTAGGATAAAGACTTAAGCACACAGGAGTCTTGACCTGTGGGTGGACCTCAGTAGTGATTTCTGAAATGCAGCTATTTATGAGGTGGAGTCTAGATTGCCTCAAGCCTATCTTTCATGGGATTTTCTGTGAACAATTTGTCACTTCTCCTTACCTCTTCCTGAAGGTTGCATGTAATGATGGCATTAACTTCTAGGAAAAGTAGGGTGTGAATCAATTAAAGGCTTGACAGAGAGAAGAAGAAAGAACAAGTATTTGCTGCTCTCATCAGACCATTAGACTTTAGGTGCAGCCTTGATTTCCTGAATTTAGGTCTATTGATCTCAGAATTTCCATTCAGCCTGACCATTAACCCAGCATGCAGCTTCCATTAAAGGCTGCTGTCATCAGGGAACTTGAAATCCCAGGGGTAGATGCAGTCCCTGTGATAGCTTTATATGTGAGTGAAGTCGTTTCTGTCCAAGTCTAACAAGTAACTTGGTTTTTGCTTTTATTCACGTTATCCCATCTTGCCTATTGATAGGGATGGTTAAGTGAAACTCTACATCTAAATCTGGAAAGGACCCCAAAATGCCATCAAGTGTGTTTCCCACCCCCAACCTTAGGCAGGGCCATCATTTATTCCCAACTGAAGATAATTTGTTTCTAGTGAACCCCTAAAGAAGACGATTCCAGGTACTTTCTAGGAAGTTCTTATGTTACTGAAATACCTTTTGCCACCCCATCCCCACCATCTAGGGTTATTTTGTCTCCTAATCTCTGTGGATGTAGAGTCCCTGGAGGCCTATGTGAGCATCCTTCAGACTGGTAAACTTACTCAGTTCTCTTTTTCTCTGTTCTTTAGGCCAAGTCATTGACCTGTACCTCTGGGACTCAATCACTTTCATGCTAGCCCTGACCCATTCTAAGTTTTTCAGGTTTGGGTGGGGGGGTGAATGGCTCTGTTGATGTGTGTAATGACCTTTCTCAAAAGTTTTGGAGCTTTGCCAGTAATGACTTAGGCATGTGTATTTTATGCTATTAGAATTACACTTTGAGTACAGGCAGTCTTCCACATTTGCCTTTTGGTTGATCTGTGCATCAATCAAAAAGCTCTGTGCTGCAAAATCTTAGGAAGTTACACAACTGAAAGAACCAGTGACCTTCAGTTGGACAGAAGACATCAAAATTCGAACTATGTGTTTTTAGTTCCTGCCACTCATACCAGCAAATATTTGTAGATGCCCTGGATTTGGCGCTGCTGGGGACACACGCACATGAACTCCCACATAGGATGAGTGTCCCTAAGAGCCTGGGGATGCAGGGGTGGGGTTGGGATGCCATGGAGCATGTTGCCATCAGGCGGTGACATAGAGCTGCCACCATACCTCACGAGTCTCTTAACATCACACTTGAAAATTTATGTAATGTAGAAAACCCTCTGGGATGTTTATTGAAACCACTTGTGCTGCTTTTTCAGGTACTCCTTTCAGTTTAAAATTCACAGAGAAAAGGGCTCATCAGAGGTCCTGGGAAAGGCATAGAAAGCGACCAGAAGTGATTTGTGTATGTAGTTAAAATAAAACAGCAGCCCCTCTCTAGACTTAGCAGGCAGTGTTACGGTTGCTTGCACACATCTGAGCTTTGCGGGAAGGGGAGGTGGGATGACGAAGAATTTACATAGTTGGCAGAGAACCAACTCCCTAAGCCAAAGAAAGTAGCATTTGAACCATATGGTTTGGTTTCTATCACACATACTTTTATTTCACAACTTTGGAGCACTGGGCTACATAAAGACTTGGATCCCAGTCTCAAAAAGCTGAAAGAAGACAAGATGAGTGCACACAAAACTGTAAAGTGCAGGACATAATGTGAATGTTTATAAAGGTGTAAGGTGTGTGTGTGTGTGTGTGTGTGTGTGTGTGTGTGTTTTCAAGGGAGAGATCATTTTCAGTCCTAAATTCTATACTATATAGGATTTTCACTTCTATGTGAAAAATACTCTTTTCCTTAACAAGTCATGGATGAATGTTTTGAAAAGTATGGTCTATAGATCAACTACCTGCATAGGAATCTCCTGTGGTAATGTTAAAGTGCAGATTCTAGGGCCCCACTGACTCAGAATGTCTGGGGGTAGACTCCTGAGAATCTGCATTTTAACAGCCTCCCTGGTGTGATCTCTGGCACAGTTTAAGAGCCGCTGCCATAAACCATAAATGTTAAAATAGGAAGAATTTTTAGTGATTATTATATCCAAACAAAGAAAATGGGTGTGCATTTTTAAAGGGAGCAGTGAGGTTTGCCATTTTCAGACTGTTCATTTGGAACACCAAAATGAGAGAAGAAGAAACATCGCTTTGAAACAATGAGGAACTAACTCCAAAGACTATGTGGAAATTAAAGGTTCTTTATTTTTGAGGTTCTCTTTAAATTATTACAAGAAGTACATGCTCATTTTAGAACATTTGGGAAATATAGAAAAGAAGAAAATATTGTTACACTTCTATGCATATATTTTAGAAGTCAAGAGGTAATGGGTACATGGCATATACGGTGAGAACATCTCCCTCCACCCTGCCATGTTTGTTCCTTCTCTCTCAAGCCTGCAAATTACACCATCCCAAACACACTATTCTGTCCCTTGCTTTTTTCTCCTTAAGGAGTCTAAGTTTTATTGATGTGCATTTGAAGTTTTTATGTAGGGGAGTGACACGATCCAATTTTTCTTTTTCTTTTTATTTTTGAGAAACAGAGTCTCACTCTGTCACCCAGGCTGGAGTGCAGTGGCATGATCCCCACCTCCCAGGTTCAAACAATTCTCCTGTCTCAGCTTCCCAAGTAGCTGGGACTACAGGCATGCACCACCACACCCAGCTAATTTTTGTATTTTTAGTAGAGATGAGGTTTCACTGTATGTTGGCCAGGCTGGTCTCAACTCCTGACCTCAGGTGATCTGCCCAGCTCAGCTTCTCAAAGTGCTGGGATTACAGGCATGAGCCACTGTACCCAGCCCCCAATTTTCATTTCTAAAAGATCACCCATGCTATGGTGGGGAGTAGATTCTCTGTATCATTCATCCATCCATCTATCTATCCATTTACAGAGCATCTCTAAACTTTGCCAGTCCTGGTGCTGGGCTTGACTTTTACAGACATAAAGCAGACAAGGTTCCATTTCTCAAGGAGCTCACAGTCAAATAGGGGAGGTAGCCAGTAACCAGACAGAGTGCAGTATGGTAAGCCACACACAGACTATGTCCTCTGAACGAGGACCACAGCATCAAAAGAAGATCTTAATTTGCAGGTCAGGAAAGGCTTCATGGAGACAGTGACACTGCTGAGTTTAAAGGAGTACTAGGTACTTTCCCAAAAAAGAAGGTGGGAGCAAAAAAGTAGCATTTTGGTTAGAAAAAAACACCTGGGAGAAAGGTGATAATCATGAAGGAGAATAACATGCTTGCATGCACTCTGAGGACTCAGATGTTAAGGAACAAATAAAAGGAATTGATGAGAGGCAATTTGGAAAGGAATATTGGGTGCCTCTTGGTTTTTGAGCAAACAATATTTCTTAGTAATTATGTCAGCACAGATAGAGCTGCTTCCTCCTTTTTCACAGCTACAGAGTGTACCATTGTATGGATAGATTATAACTCAACCAGTCTCCATTAATGTATATTTAGATCATTTCTTTTTTTTTAATTGCATTTTAGGTATGGGGGTACATGTGCAGAACGTGCAAGATAGTTGCATAGGTTCACACATGGCAGTGTGTTTTGCTGCCTTCCTCCCCCTCACCCACATTTGGCATTTCTCCCCAGGCTATCCCTCCCCAGCTCCCCCACCGCTGTCCCTCCCCTATTCCCCCCAATAGACCCCAGTGTGTAGTACCCCCTTCCCTGTGTGCATGTGTTCTCATTTTTCCTCACCCACCTATGAGTGAGAATATGCGGTATTCCATTTTCTGTTCTTGTGTCAGTTTGCTGAGAATGATGTTCTCCAGATTCATCCATGTCCCTACAAAGGACACAAACTCATCATTTTTGATTGCTGCATAATATTCCATGGTGTATATGTGCCACATTTTCCCAATCCAGTCTATCATCGATGGGCATTTGGGTTGGTTCCAGGTCTTTGCTATTGTAATCAGTGCTGCAATGAACATTCGTGTGCATGTGTCCTTATAGTAGAACAATTTATAGTCCTTTAGCTATATACCCAGTAGTGGGATTGCTGGGTCAAATGGGAATTTCTATTTCTAAGGCCTTGAGGAATCGCCACACTGTCTTCCACAATGGTTGAACTAATTTACACTCCCACCAACAGTGTAAAAGTGTTCCTATTTCTCCATATCCTCTACAGCATCTGTTGTATCCAGATTTTTTAATGATCGCCATTCTAACTGGCGTGAGATGGTATCTCAATGTGGTTTTGATTTGCATCTCTCTAATGACCAGTGATGATGAGCATTTTTTCATATGTTTGTTGACCTCATGTATGTCTTCTTTTGTAAAGTGTCTGTTCATATACTTTGCCCATTTTTGAATGGGCTTGTTTGTTTTTTTCCTGTAAATCTGTTTGAGTTCTTTGTAAATTCTAGATAACAGTCTTTTGTCAGATGGGTAAACTGCGAAAAATGTTTCCCATTCTGTTGGTTGCTGATTCACTCTAGTGACTGTTTCTTTTGCTGTGCAGAAGCTGTGGAGTTTCATTAAGTCCCTTGTGTCTATTTTGGCTTTTGTTGCCAATGCTTTTGGTGTTTTGGTCATGAAGTCTTTTCCTACTCCTATGTCCTGGATGGTCTTGCCTAGATTTTCTTCTAGGGTTTTGATGGTGCCAGGTCTTATGTTTAAGTCTTTAATCCATCTGGAGTTAATTTTAGTGTAAGGTGTCAGGAAGGGGTCCAGTTTCTGCTTTCTGCACATGGCTAGCCAGTTTTCCCAACACCATTTATTAAACAGGGAATCCTTTCCCCATTGCTTGTTTTTGTCAGGTTTATCAAAGATTGTATGGTTGTAGATATGTTGTGTTGCCTCCGATGCCTCTGTTTTGTTCCATTGGTCTATATCTCTGTTTTGGTACCAGTACCATGCTGTTTTGATTACAGTAGCCTTGTAGTATAGTTTGAAGTCCGGTAGTGTGATGCCTCCCACTGTGTTCTTTTTGCTTAGAGTTGACTTGGCTATGCAGGCTCTCTTTTGGTCCATATGAAGTTCATGGTGTTTTTTTCCAGTTCTGTGAAGAAAGTCAATGGTAGCTTGATGGGGATAGCATTGATTCTGTAAATTACTTTGGGCAGTATAGCCATTTTCACGATATTAATTCTTCCTACCCATGAACATGGAATGTTTCTCCATCTGTTTGTGTTCTCTCTTATTTCGTTGAGCAGTGGTTTATAGGTCTCCTTGAAGAGGTCTCTTAAGTTCCTTGTTAGTTGTATTCCTAGGTATTTTATTCTCGTTGTAGCAATTGTGAATGGCAGTTTGTTCTTGATTTGGCTCTCTTTAAGTCTGTTATTGGTGTATAGGAATGCTTGTGATTTTTGCACATTGATTTTATATCCTGAGACTTTGCTCAAGTTGCTTATCAGTTTCAGGAGTTTTTGGGCTGAGATGATGGGGTCTTCTAGGTATACTATCATGTTGTCTGCAAATAGAGACAATTTGGCTTCCACCTTTCCTATTTGAATACCCTTTATTTCTTTTTCTTGCCTGATTGCTCTGGCTAGAACTTCCAGTACTATATTGAATAGGAGTGGTGAGATAGGGCATCTTTGACTAGTGCCAGATTTCAAAGGGAATGCTTCCAGTTTTTGCCCATTCAGTATGATATTGGCTGTTGGTTTGTTGTAAATATCTTTTATTACTTTGAGATACGTTCCATCGATACCGAGTTTATTGAGGGTTTTTAGCATAAAGGGCTGTGGAATTTTGTCGAATGCCTTCTCTGCGTCAATTGAGATAATCATGTGGTTTTTGTTTTTGGTTCTGTTTATGTGGTGAATTACGTTTATAGACTTGCATATGTTGAACCAGCCTTGCATCCCCGGGATGAATCCTACTTGATCATGATGGATAAGTTTTTTGATGTGCTATTGCAATCAGCTTGCCAGTATTTTATTGAAGATTTTTGCATCTATATTTATCATGGATATTGGCCTGAAGTTTTCTTTTCTTGTTGAGTCTCTGCCGGGTTTTGGTATCAGGATGATGTTGGTCTCATAAAATGATTTGGGGAGGATTCCCTCTTTTTGGATTATTTGGAAGAGTTTCAGAAGGAATGGTACCAGCTCCTCTTTGTGTGTCTGGTAGAATTCGGCTGTGAACCCATCTGGACCTGGGCTTTTTTTGTGTGGTAGGCTCTTAATTGCTGCCTCAACTTCAGACCTTGTTATTGGTCTATTCATAGTTTTGGTTTCCTCCTGGTTTAGGCTTGGGAGGACCCAGGTATCCAGGAATTTATCCATTTCTTCCAGGTTTACTAGTTTATGTGCATAGAGTTGTTTGTAGTATTCTCTGAAGATGGTTTGAATTTCTGTGGAATCTGTGGTGATTTCTCCTTTATCGTTTTTTATTGCATCTATTTGGTTATTCTCTCTTTTCTTTTTTATCAGTCTGGCTAGTGGTCTGTCTAGTTTGTTGATCTTTTCAAAAAACCAACTCTTGGATTTATTGATTTTTCGAAGAGTTTTTCGTGTCTCAATCTCCTTCAGTTCTGCTCTGATCTTAGTTATTTCTTGTCTTCTGCTAGGTTTTGAGTGTTTTTGATCTTGCTCTTCTAGCTCTTTCAATTTTGCCGATAGGGTGTCAGTTTTGGATCGCTCCATTCTTCTCATGTGGGCACTTATTGCTATATATTTTCCTCTGGAGACTGCTTTAAATGTGTCCCAGAGATTCTGGTATGTTGTCTCTTCGTTCTTGTTGGTTTTGAAGAACTTTTTTATTTCTGCCTTCATTTCATTGTTTACCCAGTCAACATTCAAGAGCCAGTTGTTCAGTTTCCATGAAGCTGTGCGGTTCTGAGTTAGTTTCTGAATTCTGAGTTCTAACTTGATTGCACTATGGTCTGAGAGACTGTTTATGATTTCAGTAGTTTTGCATTTGCTGAGGAGTGCTTTACTTCCAATTATGTGGTCAATTTTAGAGTAGGTGTGATGTGGTGCTGAGAAGAATGTATATTCTGTGGATTTTGGGTGGAGAGTTCTGTAAATGTCTATCAGGTTTGCTTGCTCCAGGTCTGAGTTCAAGCCCTGGATATCCTTGTTAATTTTCTGTCTGGTTGATGTGTCTAATAGTGACAGTGGAGTGTTAAAGTCTCCCAGTAATATTATATGGAGTCTAAGTCTCTTTGTACGTCATTAAGAACTTGCCTTATATATCTGGGTGCTCCTGTATTGGATCCATATATATTTAGGATCATTAGTTCTTCTTGTTGTATTAATTCTTTTACCATTATGTAATGACCTTCTTTGTCTCTTTTGATCTTTGTTGCTTTAAAGTCTATTTTATCAGAGATGAGAATTGCAACTCCTGCTTTTCTTTGCTCTCCATTTGCTTGGTAAATCTTCCTCCATCCCTTTATTTTGAGCCTTTGTGTATCCTTGCATGTGAGATGAGTTTTCTGGATACAGCACACCGATGGGTTTTGGTTTTTTATCTGATTTGCCAGTTTGTGTCTTTTGATTGGTGCATTTAGCCCATTTACATTTAGGGTTAATATTGTTATGTGTGGGGAGACGATTCAAGATGGCCGACCACTAACAGCTCAGGATTGTAGCTCCCAGTGAAAGCTCAGAGAACGAGACGACGCCACATCTTTAGACGAATTTTCGTCACTCACCGATTAGCCGATTCCCAGTGGAGGAGCCCCACGGGTCGCCAGCGTGACTCTTGTGGCCGCCGCAGCGGTTTTGCCGGCGTCTCGGCACAGCAGCTCTTCATGCAGAGCCAACGGGACTGCTTCCCCTACTGACCAGAGTTTGGAGCTCGGGGAAGTCAGAGCCGCTTGTTGCGGACTCGAGAGGGAAGCCAGACCAGAGATTCCCGGGCAGAAGAGCACCATCAGTCTTACTGCTGCTATTTAGGCTGCCACAGTGGGTGGCTCGGATCCCAGCACTGGGAATCAGTAAGTCGGACGTTGACTCAGAAAACTAATTAGAAAGGCGGTTCATCTATAATGAAGGGAAAAAAACAGCCTAAGAAGGCCGAGTATACTCAAAATCAGAACCCATCAGCAACGGAACAAGCCCTGATGGAAAAGGACTCATCAGCAACCGAACAAGCCCTGATGGAAAAGGACTCATCAGTAACGGAACAAGCCCTGATGGAAAAGGACTGTGTTCCATTATCTGAAGTAGGCTTTAAAAGGTGGATGATAAGAAACTTCTGGGAGTTAAAGGAACTTGTTCTAACCCAATGTAAAGAAACTAAGAACTTGGAAAAAAGGTTCGATGAAATGTTGAAAAGAATAGACAATATAGAGAGGAATACAAATGAACTTATGGAGTTGAAAAATACAACACGAGAACTCAGTGAAATATGTACAAGCTTAAACAGCCGAATGGATCAAGCAGAAGAAAGGGTATTAGAGGTCGAAGACCAACTTAATGAAACAAAACGACAAGACAAGAATAGAGAAAAAAGGATAAAAAGGAATGAGCAAAGTCTCCAAGAAATATGGGACTATGTGAAAAGACCTAATATACGCTTGATTGGTGTACCTGAATGTGACGGAGAGAATGAAGTCAAGCTGGAAAATACTCTCCAGGACATTATCCAGGAAAATTTTCCTAATTTAGCAAAGCAGAACACTATTCAACCCCAGGCAATACAGAGAACACCACAAAGATATTCCTCAAGAAGACCAACCCCAAGGCACATAATCGTTAGATTCACCAAGATCGAAACGAAGGAGAAAATATTAAGGGCAGCCAGAGAGAAAGATCAAGTTACCCATAAAGGTAAGCCTATTAGGCTTACAGCAGATCTCTCAACGGAAACCCTACAAGCTAGAAGAGAGTGGGGGCCAATATTCAATATACTTAAAGAACAAAACTTTCAGCCCAGAATTTCATATCCTGCCAATTTAAGCTTTACATTTGAAGGTAAAATAAAATCTTTTAGGAACAAGCAAGTACTCAGAGATTTTATTACCACCAGGCCTGCTTTACAAGAACTTCTAAAAGAAGCATTATACACAGAAAGGAACAACCAGTATGATCCTTTCTAAAAATACACCAAAAAGTAAAGAGCATTAACATAAAGAAGAATTTTTATCAACAAAAGGACAAAATAGCCAGTTAATATCAAATGGCAGCAACCCTAAAGTTAAATCAACCAAATCTCCCAATCAAAAGATACAGACAAAATCCAACGGTATATCCAAAGATATACATAGACTCAAAATAAAGGGTTGGAAAAAAAAAAAAAGTACCAACCTAATGGAGAGCAAAAATAAATAAATAAAAAGCAGGAGTTGCAATTTTCACATTTGACAAAATAGATTTCAAAGCTATAAGGATACAAGGGTAAAAGGATTAATGTAACAATAAGAGATCTTAACACCCAGATACATAAGACACGTAGTGAGATTTAGATTCAATGAGACAACAAATTGATAACGATATCCAGGATTTGAACTCAGAGCCAGAACAAATAAACACAATAGAGGTCTCCATTTTAAACACATAAAATATGCATTAACCACTTTAAACACTCAAAATATTGATCGGCCATTATTGAAACCCATTTTAGGAATGAAGTAATATTCCTTTTTCCCTCTTTTTCTTTTTTTCCCCTTTTCCCTAAAAAAAAAAAAAACTGGATGCCAATTCAAACAGAAAATTATAAAAATCTACCATAGGATTGTATAAGGAGACTAATATTATTTAGATAGGTCGTTTTGAATTTAGTCTTTATCTTTTAACCGGGTCTAAGAGCTTTAGGAAGTGCCCACACTGAATCTTGGGTCTCCAAAAAGAGAGAAGTATGATGGGACTAGGTCATGTAGAAAAAAAAAATATTGTTATGTGTGAATTTGATACTGCCATTTTGATGCTAGCTGGCTGTTTTGCCCATTAGTTGATGCAGATTCTTCATTTTGTTGATGCTCTTTAGCATTTGGTATGTTTTTAGAATGGCTGGTACTGGTTGTTCCTTTCTATGTGTAGTGCCTCTTTCAGGAGCTCTCGTAAAGCAGGCCTGGTGGTGACAAAATCTCTGAGTACTTGCTTGTTTGCAAAGGATTTTATTTTTTCTTCACTTATGAAGCTCAGTTTGGCTGGATATGAAATTCTGGGTTGAAAGTTCTTTTCTTTAAGGATGTTGAATATTGGCCCCCACTCTCTTCTGGCTTGTAGGGTTTCTGCTGAGAGATCTGCTGTGAGTCTAATGGGCTTCCCTTTGTGGGTGACCCGACCTTTCTCTCTGGCTGCCCTTAGCATTTTCTCCTTCATTTCAACTCTGGTGAATCTGACGATTATGTGTCTTGGGGTTACTCTTCTTGTGGAATATCTTTGTGGTGTTCTTTGTATTTCCTGGACTTGAATATTGGCCTGTCTTGCTAGATTGGGGAAATTTTCCTGTATAATATCATGAAGAGTATTTTCAAGCTTGGATTCATTCTCTTCGTCACATTCTGGTACACCTATCAAACGTAGGTTAGGTCTCTTCACATCGTCCCACATTTCTTGGAGACTTTGTTTTCCTTTTTGCTCTTTTTTCTCTAATCTTGGTTTCTCATTTTATTTTATTGAGTTGATCTTCGACTTCTGATATTCTTTCTTCTACTTTGTCAGTTCCGCTGTTGAAACTTGTGCATGCTTCACGAAGTTCTCATGTTGTGTTTTTGAGCTCCTTCAATTCATTCATATTCCTCTCTAAGTTGTCCATTCTTGTTATTATTTCCTCGAATCTTTTTTCAAGGTTCTTTGTTTCTTTGCATTGATTTAGAACATGTTCTTTTAGCTCACAGAAGTTTCTCATTATCCACCTTCTGAAGTCTGATTCCGTCATTTCATCACACTCATTCTCCATCCAGCTTTGCTCCCTTGCTGGTGAGGAGTTTTGGTCCTTTGTAGGAGGCGAGGTGTTTTGGTTTTGGGTGTTTTCCTCCTTTTTGTGCTGGTTTCTTCCCATCTTTGTGGATTTATCCACCTGTCATCTGAGTAGTTGCTGACTTTTCTTTTCTTTTCTTTTTTTTTTTTTTTTTTTTGCATGCTTCATGAAGTTCTCGTATTGTGTTTTTCAGCTCCTTGTTGCTGACTTTTCGATTGGGTCTCTGAGTGGATGCCCAGATTGTTGATGATGAGGTATTTCTGTTACTTGGTTTTCCTTCTAACAGTCTAGCCCCTCTGCTGTATGACTGCTGAGGTCCACTCCAGGCCCTGCTTGTCTAGGGTATACCTGTAGCAGCTGCGGAACAGTGAGGGATGCTACCAGTTTCTTCTTCTGCTATCTTTGTCCCAGAATGATGCCTGCCAAATGTCAGTCTGATCAGTCCTTTTTGAGGTGACCCTTTGGATATACAGGGGTCAGGGAGCTGCTTGAGGAGATGGTCTGTACTTTATAGGAGCTCAAGTGCTAAGCTGTGAGCTCCGTTGTTCATTCAGGGTTGTTAGGCAAGTGCGTTTAAGTCTGCTGCAGAACTTATAAAACCCCTTTTTTTCTTCAGATGCTCTGTCTCAGGGAGTTAGGGCTTTCTTTATGAGTATCCACTGCACTGTCCTGCCCAGCTAGGAGGCAGTCTAGTCACTATTTGCCTGTCAAGGCTCTGCCCTGTTGCCGTGGGCTCCGTTCTGCTGTCATGGGCTCCGCCCTGCTGGCAGAGTCTCTCTGTTTTGGCGGGTTGCCTTGGCAATGGCAGACTGCATCAGCAATGGGAGTGTACCTCAGTAGGGGCGGAATGCCTCGGTAATGGCGGACACCCCTCCCCCACCGAGCTGCACCGTCCTTCATTCAGCTGTGCCTGCAGTGAAACTCTCAACCCCGAGCATTTCGAATTGCCGTTTTGTTTGTCCCTGTGGGGGTGGGACCCGCTGAGCCTGATCACCTGGTTCCCTACCTCAGAGCCCTTTTTCTCTTTTTGTTTTAAGTTGAACAGTTGACTCTCTCCCACGTGTTTCAGTCGCCTGCTGATAGGGCACCAGGATCTGTGTGATTTCCCGTGCAGCGACCCACTGCGCATGCTCAAATGTCGCTTCCTGGGAATCTCCTGGTCTGGCTCACTGTCCAAGTCCCCTTTAATCAGATGGATATGTTAATCTGCCCTCCCAAATCTCAGATTGCTAGTTTAACAGGGCACCCAGACCAGTGCGTTTTGTGCAGGTTGCCACTGCGCTGCGGTGCTGGCCGCAATGGCCACGCCAGCTCAAAGGGCTGTGCTGGCGTCCCGTGTCTCTCCTACACCTGGGAATTTCCCCGTTCTTTGGGCAACAAAGATCCATCTGGAAATGTGGCTTGGATTCACCCTTTGTGCCTTCTCTCAGAGCTGCAATCCTGAGTTGTTCCATCTTGGAACTATTCAGATCATTTCTAATCTTTTGTTGTTGCAAACAGTATGCAATGAATATCATTGCACATATGTCATTTCCACATATGTGAGTACTTCTCTGAGATAATTTCTTAGATTTGCTGGCAAAAGGATATTTGACTGAAATTGTTGACAGATGTTGCCCCAGATAGTAGTGATTCTCATTTACATTCCTACCAGCAATGTATGAAAATGCCAGTTTCCTCATACCCTCCAACACAGGGTGTTACCCAATTTTCTCTACTTTGCCAATCTGATAGGTGAAATGACACCTCATAGTTTTAATTTAAATTTCTTATTATTGGTGAACATCTTTCTATAAATTTATGAGCCATTTGTATTTATCTGTGAATGTTTTAGCCTTTGCCTGATTTCTATTGCATTCTTGGGAATTTTAAAATTTCATTTAGGGACTCTTCATAAATGAGGAAAACTGGATCTTTGAATTATGTGTGTTAAATATTTTTGTTCAATTTGTTCAAATTTGTTGCTGTTTTTGTTTCTATGTGGAAATTTTATGTTGTTAAATTCATGTATTTTAAGACCTGGATTTATGTCATACAGAAAAAAAAAAAATTCCATGTTTGCCTACTGCTTTCATTTTCTGTGTTTAAGCTTTTTATCTATCTAGTATTTATTTTAGAGTGTGGTTACAGATAGGGATACAGCTTTATTTATTCAGGCATCTATTTGTTTAGGGATCTCACTAGTTCCTTCAGCTTCGTTTATTAAATAACCCATCTCTTTCCTGCTAAGTTAAAAGCCATCTGTATCATATACCACATTTCTTGTGTATTTGTACCAATTTTGGACTTTCTGGTCTGTTCTTTTGATCTGACTGTCTTTTCATATTCTAGTATTTCACTTTTTATTATTGTAGCTTGATGATATGTTTTAAAATCTGAAGGGGCTAGATACCTCTTTATTACTCTTTTTACTTTCTTTTTTAAAACTTACACTTAACATGTTTATTTTTTCCCTGTGTGCTTTAGAATTAACTTGATCAGGTCCCAAAAATTTCTGTTGGTATTCTTAATGGTCTCACATTAAATTTACACATAACTTAAGGAAAATAAATACCTATAAGTTGTTGTCTTACTATTCAAGAATACGGTATGCTACCATTTGTTTAAACCTCTTTTATTGCCCTTCAATTGCATTTTCAAGTTTGCTTTCCATTGATCTTACTATTCCCTGTTTATTCCTGGTTATTTTATCTTTTACTACTAATGTCAGTAGATCTTTTCTTCTATTATTTCCTCCAACTTGTGTGTGTGTGTATGAAAACTATTGATTTTGGTATATCAATTTTGTACCAGTTCTTTACCAAATTATCTTATTAATTTTAATGGTTTTTCAATTGATTTGCCTGAGTTTGCCATATAGGTAATTATTTTCTTTTCAAATAATGTAACATTTAGTTTCTATTTTCCCAATTTGTTTTTTTTTTTTTTTTTGAGACAGGGTCATAGTCTTGCCACCCAGGCTGGAGTGTGGTAGCGCAATCTTGCCTCACTGCAACCTCTGCCTCCTGGGTTCAAGCAACTCTCCCACCTCAGCCTCCTGAGTAACTGGGACTATAGGTGTATGCTGCCATGCCTAGCTAACTTTTTGTAATTTTAGTAACGACAGGGCTTCACCTTGTTGGCCAGGCTAGTCTTGAACTCATGGCCTCAAGTGATCCTCCCTGCTTGGCCTCCCAAAGTGCTGGAATTACAGGTATGAGCCACTCTGCTCGGCCTCTTTTCCCTATTTTTATGCCTCTTGTTTTTTTTTTTCCTCTTTGTCTCATTACATTGGCTAAATCACCCAGAAAAATGTTAAATCTGAATAGTAATCAATTATGTCTTTGTTTTGCTCTTGACTTTAATAAGTATGCACCAGTATTTCCCACTAAGCGTGATCCTGGCTTTGGGGTAAGTGAATAGACAAACAGATATCTTAAGAAATTACTCCTCTGTACTTATGTTGTTGAAAGATTCTTCTTACATTAAGAATGGATGTAGAGTTTCACAAAATGCCTTTCAGTGTGGTGGACTTTAATCTTATGGTTTTTCTTTTTGATCAATTAATATAATCAGTATTACAGATTTACTTATTGAGCAATCCTTTTATTCCTGGAATAAACCACCCTTGATTGTGATATACAATTTTTTAATGTGCTGATAGTTCTGCTCATTAGTATATTTATGTTTTTTATCAGTGATTTTCATGAGATTATAGTATTTTTAAGCACTTTTAGATTTTGGAATACATAAAAAGCATATTTTTAGTTCTTCATTGTAGATTATCTCCTTTATCATTATGCAAAGCCCTCTTTGTTTTCTTTATTGCATTTTGCCCTGAATTTATTCTTGTCTGATATTAAGACTAGAAGCCCTGCTTACATTTTGTTTGCATTTGCCTCATGTGCTTCTGCCCATAGTTTTGTTTTCAGCTTGAATTATTTTTATTAGGTATGCTGCTTGTATATGGAGACTAGCTGTGTTTTCTTTTATAATCAATTATAATATTTTCTTTTAATAGGTGAATTTAACTTATTTATGTTTATGAAAGTCTTGCTTATCTCATCACATTTTATATTATTCTGTTTAGGTAGCTTCTTTTACCATATGGTCTCTGGGTCTTTTTTAACCTGTTTTGTTTGTGTGTGTCTTTATTTCTTTCAATAATCTGGAAAGTTTAAATTTCTGTTTCAAGTTTATATTTGTAACTTTATAGTAGTTACTTAAAAATTGATATTTTTAGGCAGCATTTATTAATGTCCTGGAAAAAACTGAATGTCATAAACTTACATTTCCACCTTCTTCCTACTTTTCTCCATCCTTCAACCCCCAATTCTACTGATTTATTGACTAATTGATTGACTTTGTATCTTTAAATATAATTACAACCTACTACTTGATTTATCAGCCTTGAATAATATATTTTGACCTGATAGATAATGAAATCAGCATACCAACACTGCCTTTTATGCCTCCTCTCCTCCTTCCCTCATTTTATTATACTATTTTGTTAAGGTTTATAACATTTATATTCTGTTTTTTAGTCCTATCTCTACATTTGTTTTAGTCTTAGTCCTATCTATGATTGATTTTTTTTCACTTAATGATTAACACTGAATATATTCTCATGTTATTCTTCTACAGTATTGATTTTGACAGCTGCATAATATTTTTATATGGATAAATGTACCACCCTTTATTTAGCCAGTCCTTTATTATTAAACATTTCAGTTGTATTCAGTTGCCACTAGTATGAATAGTACAAACCAGGCTAACCCTTTGAAATTTAAATATAATATAAATATAAAAATGTAATTTAAAATATCACATTCATATCAAAATAACTTGTAGCATATAATTATTATTTGTGAATGTTCATTTTCTAATTTTCTTAAATCTTATTTGTTTAGGCTTATTGTGGATATGTGCCTGGAACCCTCTCAGATGTGCACATCCCTGTCACATGGAAAAAACCGCTGAAAACCCTGGGTACCAGAAATAAAGCAGAGGTCAGATGGGTACCCTAGAATGACGCAATGAAAAGAAACCTTTGGACCCCAATTTGTAAATAAATCTGCAGTCTTAATCCCTTGGGGATGTGTTTGTTGTTTGGTAGGTAGGTGGTTGTTTAGGTGGTTTTATCCTACCAGGCCCAAAGTGATCTGGCCCCTGCCTCTCTTTCCAGGTTACATTCATCTCCTTGATGTTCATCTTACATTGTGGTTTGGCAGACTTTCTGTAAAGGGCCAGTTGGTAAATAGGCTTTGTTGACCAAACTGTCTCTGTTGCAATTACTCAACTCAAAAGCACCCATAGACAATATATAAGTAAATGAATGTGCCAATAAACTTTATTTATAAAACCAGGTGGTGAACCATAGTTTACTGATTTAATACACTAACGTTGCTTCTTTTCTGCTTTAGGGTTTTGACTGTTGTCTTTTCTGGAAACTCAGTCCCCTAGATGATCCTAGGACCTGCTCCCTTACTCTTTTCAGGTCTCTCAGATGTCATTTCATTAGAGAGGTCTTCCCTGACCATCCAGCCTGAAATAGCACCCTTCCCCATATCGCCATATCCGTTACTGCTTTTCTCTCATGGTAAATATTTCATTTATTCCTTCACTAATAATATTGATCTATTTTCATAACTCTTAGAGAAAAGCATATGTATTTACAGGCAGAGTATTCTTTATACACATGGCAGTTCATTTATAGTGGACCATCTCAAGGGACAGAAACAGCTTTGTTGTGTAGAGCTTGTTTTAATCATTTTTCTTCTAATGACTTTTCCTCTGAGATTTAGACTGAGTTTGGCAGTGCCAAACATTTTGTAAAATGGCACTGGTTGATATGAAGCAATTGCTTTGTTCCAGATTCATATCAATTAAAAAAAAGTATTTGGCTATTCTGGCTCTTCTCATGGATTATATCAGGTTCTGCCCCATATATAATTTTCAAAAACTATTCATGCAAAGAGGAGTATTTCCTCGACAATTTGCATTTTCCCCAGAATCCTCATGGCCTAAAGAAAGGCTGGGCAATGCAGGGTGAGTAGAGGCCCTGGAAGAGATGTTTCCTGAAGAAACATGATCATTTAGGAAATTCATGTTAGGATATGATGGCTTTGGAGGATCCAACCCCAAGGAAGAGAGAGAAGTCAGATTCTGAAGTTGACATAAGGTTTCCATGATCTTGCTGCTGTAGCCTTTCGAAATCTACATCAACGCCCCATTTTTAATGCAGCTGAAGAAAGTTGTTCTTCATGTGGGTGGCCAATGCAGAGGATACAGGAGCCCCACACTTTATTATGGAGATGACTCCAACTTGGGAGTACTATTGGGGTTTGGGTGGCTTGGCATGCTCCCAGGAGATCTGCACCATGGATACAGAATGTCTCAAGAGCTGTTGCATTTCTCATGTAAGAAGTGACAGCAAGACTAATTCAGTCATGGTGCTTGAGAGGTGAAGGACCCCTCCTGCCAGAAAAGGTCTGTATTTGAGAAGCGGGTGGTGTTCAAGGCTAGGAGAGTGAGTGAGAGCACTGCCATTACAGTAGATTCTGAGACCCCATGGGTGTGGCATTTTTTTCTGGACTTGTGGCACCACCATGCCTTGTTTGGCAGGCTTCATGATCTTTACCAACTTCTAGAAGATGTTTTTTGTAAATACTTTATGTAACCAGGATATTATAGATATTTTTCTTGATAGCTGAGAATATTTCAACACAGTATAATTCTTAATGTAACATGGTTCTTTCATATAAGTGTACCTGAGAAATCCTCTCATCTGTATTTTTTTGAAAGAGAAAAAAAGAAAGAAAAAGAGAAAAGAAGAAAGAATGAAAGAGAGAAATAAAGAGGAAGAGAAAGAGGGAGAGATGAGAATCTTGCTCTATTGCCCAGGTTAGAATGAAGTCTAAAAATGGGTATTAAAAACCTCTTTTATGCCAATAATTGTGCTTAACAATGGAGACAGGAAGGAATAAGGGAGGAAAATAACAAACAAGCAGCCAACCAATATTTCATTTAAAACTGTGAAATGCTATGCAAATGCTGAGGAGTGATTTACTCCCAATTATGGGGTCACTTTTAGAATAGGTGTGATATGATACTGAGAAAAATGTGTATTTTGTGGATTTGGGGTGGAGAGTTCTGTAAATGTTTATTAAGTTTACTTGTTCCAGGTCTGTGTTCAAGTCGTGGATATCCTTGTTAATTTTCTGTCTCGTTGATCTGTCTAATATTGACAATGTAGTGTTAAAGTCTCCTACTATTATTGTGTGGGAGTCTAAGTCTCTGTAAGTCATTAAGAATTTGCCTTATGTATCTGAGTGGTCTTGTATTGGGTGCGTATATATTTAGGATCGTTAGCTCTTCTTGTTGCATTGATCCTTTTACCATTATGTAATGTCCTTCTTTGTCCCTTTTGGTCTTTGTTGGTTTAAAGTCTATTTTATCAGAGACGAGAATTGCAACTCCTGCTTTTTTTTTTTTTTTAACTCTCCATTTGGTTGGTAAATCTTCCTCCATCCCTTTGTTTTGAGTCTTTGTGTATCCTTGTGTGCAAGATGGGTCTGGATGCAGCATACCAAAGGGTTTTGGTTTTTTATTCAATTTGCCTGTCTGTGTCTTTTGATTGGGGCATTTAGTCCATTTAAAGTTAGGATTAATATTGATATATGTGAATTTAATACTGACATTTAATGCTAGCTGGCTGTTTTGCCCATTAGTTGATGTAAATTCTTCATTATGGTGATGCTCTTTACCTTTTGGTATGTTTTTGGAATGGCTGATACTGGTTGTTCCTTTCTATGTGCAGTGCTTCTTTCAGAAGCTCTTGTAATCTATTGATCTATTGAAAGTCAGCCCTCAACACAAGGGTTGGATCGGGGTTTCATACACAGCAGAGCAGCTCCCCCAGAAGCTCTTGTAAAGCAGGCCTGGTGGTGATGAAATCTCTGAGTACTTGCTTGTTCGCAAAAAATTTTATTTTTCCTTCACTTGTGAAGCTTAGTTTGGCTGGATATGAAATTCTGGGTTGAAAGTTCTTTTCTTTGAGGATGTTGAATATTGGCCCCCACTCTCTTCTGGCTCATAGGGTTTCTGCTAAGAGATCTGCTGTGAGTCTGATAGGCTTCCCTTTGTGGATAACCTGACCTTTCTCTCTGGCTGCCCTTAGTATTTTCTCCTTCATTTCAACCCTGGTGAATCTAACGATTATGTGCCTTGGGGTTGCTCTTCTTGAGGAATATCTTTGTGGTGTTCTCTGTATTACCTGGAGTTGAGTATTGTCCTACCTTGCTAGGTTGGGAAAGTTTTCCTGGATAATATCCTGAAGAATATTTTTCAGCTTGGATTCATTCTCTTTGTCATATTCAGGTACACCTATCAAATGTAGATTAGGTCTTTTCACATAGTCCCATATTTCTTGGAGACTTTGCTCATTCGTTTTTACCCTTTTTTCTCTAATCTTGTCTTCTTGTTTTATTTCATTAAGTTGGCCTTCGACCTCTGATAGCCTTTCTGCTTCTTGATCAATTTGGCTGTTAAAACTTGTGCATGCTTCGCGAAATTCTCGTGTTGTGTTTTTCAGCTCCATTAATTCACTTATATTCCTCTTTAAATTGTCTATTCTCATTAGCATTTTGTCAAACCTTTTTTCAAGGTTCTTAGTTTCTTTGCATTGGGTTAGAACATGTTCTTTTAGCTCACAGAAGTTTCTTATTATCCACCTTCTGAAGCCTGATTCTGTCAATTCATCACACTCATTCTGCATCAGGCCTTGTTCCCTTGCTGATGAGGAGCTGCGATCCCCTTTAGGAGGAGAAGCATTCTGATTTCAGGTTTTTTCAGCCTTTTTGCCCTGGTTTCTTCCCGTCTTTGTGGATTTATCCACCTGTCGTCTTTGTAATTGCTGACTTTCCAATTGGGTCTCTGAGTGGATGTCCAGCTTGTTGGTGATGAAGTTTTTTCTGTTTCTTAGTTTTCCTTTGGTGGACACCCCTCCCCAACAAAGCTGGACCTTCCCTGGTTCAGTTGTGCTTGCTGTGAAACTCTCTTGTGCTTGCTGTGAAACTCTCAATCCTCAGCGCTTCCAATTGCTGTTTTTTTGTTTGTTTGTTTTGTTTTTTTGTGGAGGTTGGACCAGTTGAGCCCGATCACCTGGCTCCCTGTCTCAGAGCCTCCTCTTTTTTTTTTTTAGTTGAACAGTTGACTCTCTCCCAGGTGTTCCAGTCACCCACTGAAAAGGTGCTGGAATCTGTATAATTTCCCCTGCGGTGACCCACTGCACCGGCTGAAACAGCAGCATTGAGATTTGTGGCACTTTTCTGCCTGGGAATCTCCCACTCTGGTTCCCTGCTTCAGTCCCCTTTTCAGTCAGCTGAATGGGCGACTCTGCCTTCCCAGAGCTCCAAACGCCAACCAAAAGGGCATCCAGTCCCGTATACTCTGCACTGAGAACTGCTGCACCAGGGCGCCAGCAAAACAGCCATGCCGTCCAAAAGAGTTGTGCTGGCGACCCATGGGGCTCCTCCTCTGGGAATCTCCTGGTCTGTGGGCAACAAAAATTCGTCTGAAAATGTAGCATCCACTCACTCACTGCACTTTCACTGGGAGCTACAATCCTGAGCTGCTACTAATCAGCCATCTTGGATCTCTCTCCCCGTCTGTATTTTTTTTTAAACAGAGTCTGTTTCTGTCATCAGTCTGGAGTGCAGTGGCATGATCTCGGCTCACTGAAACCTCCATCTCCAGGTTCAAGTGATTCTCCTGCCTCAGCCTCCCGGGTAGCTGGGACTACAGGTGTGCACCACCATGCCCAGCTAATTTTTGTATTTTTAGTAGAGATGGGGTTTCACCATGTTGGCCAGGATGGTCTCAATCTCTTGACCTCATGGTCCCCCTGCCTCGGCCTCCCAAAGTGCTGGGATTGCAGGCATGAGCCACCGTCTTCATCTGTATTTTTAACTCTACTTTTCCAAAGTATGTCATTGGAAGGACATTAATTTAACTTAACTAGGGGGAAATGTCTTTGCTTTGGTGCATGTCTCTAGTTTGGGTTCTCTAGTCTCCACTAGAGAACAGCAGGATTTGAAAGATGAAAGAGCTTGAGGGTGGTTTTATTGTCAAGTAGCATCTAATTGATGAGTACCAATGGGGTTTATTAAAGCCTTAAATTCAGTTTCCTAGGGATTTTGAAGGTTCAGAAGGGTTCTGGAGGGCAAAAATATGGTGGTAAAACACCTGGTTTTTACCAGGTATTAACATGTGACATACATAATGGTTACAAATTGTTGGATTGGAGCTAAAGTGTAAAGTAACCATGGCCTTTTTGTTGTCACTATTTAATTTGTGTAGTTGCCA